CCGCGTCACTGGACTTCGTCGGCCAATTGCTTCAGGGAGCTCACGGATTTGTTGCCCATCGCCACTAACCTCCCGCCGGTAAGCCGGAGGAATCACATTGCGATGGTCGGGTCGGTGTAGGAAAGAGCAGGCAAAAGATGAGGCGCTGCAGGGGAGAATGGCTCCTCGTGCCGTGCATCATCTCCGTGCTGCTCTTTGTACCATTGGCCTGCGGACGATTGCTCATTGGCGCAAGCGATATGTCGCCGCCTGCACTGACACCATCCTTCATCAAGCAAGTAGACGATTGGGTGAGTACATTATCCATGTATTTCATCGCACTCGGTAGTAACATCTGTAGTGAGATGGTGCCATTCCATAGTTTGTGATCAAGAGCAAAGTAGTTTAGTTTGGGTCATCTTAAGAAGTGAGAATTAACTTATTAAGTAGTATCAATCCTTTTTGCAAGAGAAAAAACCGGTTCAGGAAGGCAGGAATTGCCACCATCGAGATCATAGAATGATAGAATTGCAAGGATTGTCCGGCTATATTTCTGGTATGGTGTTTAGGTTGGTGCCTTCGCTCTATTAGCTCATGATGCCGACATTCAGAATTGGCATGTGGTGCTCTTCGAATTACCTGTGACAGAAGAGATAAGATCACTGAATTTCGAGGGGTTCCCAGAGGCCAAAGCTGTTTATGATTTTATACTGCAATTGAAAATACTGACCATCCAGATTAAAACCCTGCAAGCAGAAGCAGAGATTTTGAAACAAAATATTAACGTTCCCTCCTGTTAGGTACACATCACTGCACTGGTCGAACATCTTTATGCGCTAATGATATCTTTTTTTTTTTTAATTATTACTGCCTATTTAATGAGTAGCATGTGTCGGATTAATTCTGTTATTATTGGTACTATGATGCATGTAGAGTTAAGTAAGGAATGTGATGATAATATGATATTTAGTCCAACATACTAGTAACGTTTTACAGCAGGTAACCTTCAGCGTCGAATTTGATGGGATAAAAAATTGTACTCCCTTTGTTCACAAATATAAGATGTTCTGACTTTTTTCTGAATCAAATGTATATAGACATGTTTTAGTGTGTTTGTTCACTAATTTCAGTTTGTATGTAGTCCATTTTGAAATATCCAAAATATCTTATATTTGTGAACAGAGGGAATAGTTTCTAACTGCTGACTCTCACTGGTACTTCATGGTAGTAGTTTATATTTTTAATGGTCTGGTACTTCATGGTAGTTTATATTATTATTCTGAAAAGGATGCGCACCTACTTTATCTCATTAGCATCTGTTTCTGATTAATTCTCATGCACTGACAAGGGTGACTACTCGTTACGATATCTATAGGTGGAACACGCGTGGCTCAAATGTGGATTGGACAAGAAAAGCCTTCAAGATGTTAGAAACTACTACAACTACAACCATGTACTTGATATCATCCATAGGATATCTGACAATAAGGGAACTTCCCCTGTCATTGAAAAAGGTGCCAGCTCATTGACCCCAGAAATCAAGCAAACTTTGCTGATCTGCTTAAGCAAACAGAGTTCTGAGGTTGCAAATAACCTACCCGATGGTTATATCAAAACACTTACCGCCTCAATAAGAGGAGAGCTGGCTCCGGGACCTGCTCCTGCAAATGAAGCAGTAAAACCTTCGCCAGGGAAACCAGCTGAGGGTGCTTCATCAGAAGCAACTACAAAAAAGGCAGTGCCTGCAACTAAATCAGTAGGAAAAAAGGACAGCGATGGCATGCCAACTACCAATGTCATTGGTGTGTCCTTGGTTGTTATAGCACTTTTAGCTCTTCTCTGCGTTGGCTGCTGCATGTACCGTGAAAGCCAGAGTTCTGCGGCTTCTGCCTATGATAATAAGCAACTCCTGAATCTATGTAATGTCTTGTATCATCCATTTTGCTCCAAGTCAAAGTTTTCCTCTCTTCTACCACTGACTTTTATGCTTTCATTTGCAGCGGATTCTTGCAAGTCTTCCAGTGTAAATCTAATAGATGTCACTAAGCTGGGAGCATTGCCATTGCAGTCAGAGGCTGGCCAAAATGGCCATGTGAATCAAAGTTCACAGGAAGGCCCAAACACTGATGAAATTGGCTATGTGAGACTAAGTTCACAGGAAGGCCCAAACACTGATCAAAATAACCATGTGAAACTAAGCTCACAGGAAGACGCAAACACTGGTCAAATTAGCTATGTGAAACTAAGCTCACAGGAAGACCCAACCAGTGGCCGAAATAGTGATGTGAAGCTAACTTCGCAGGAAGACCCAAACACTGGCCAAAATAACCATGTGAAGCTCACATCGCAGGGAAGTGCAAACACTGATCCAGCAAGCTACAGCAGTTCCACCGAGTCAATGGCTGCTTCTGTTGGTTCTGTGCAAGGATCAACACCAATGATGCCACCTCCAGCACATCCTCAAGTACTTGCGCCTCAACCAAAGGCTCCTCCTCCACCACCAGCTCCTCAAGCACTTGTGCCGCCTCCGAATGCTTCTCCAGTTCTTTCCTCTGGACCTTCACCGCCACCAGCTCCAAAAGCCTCCCCGCCTCCTCCCTCAGGACCCTCACCACCTACTTCTCCAAAAGCTGCACCACCACCACCACCACCATCAAAATCTGGTGGACCTCTCCCGCCACCACCAGCGCTGCCTGATTCTTCCAAAATGCGTCCACCATCACTTATGAAGTCAGGCAATAAAGCAGACACAGATGCGGATTCTAGTGAAGCTAAAACAAAGCTTAAGCCCTTCTTTTGGGATAAAGTAGCAGCAAATGCTAATAAATCAATGGTGTGGGATCACCTTAAAGCTGGATCATTCCAGTAAGTTGGTAGAGATAGCTGAGCTATATACTCCCTCCGTTCCCAAATATTTGTCTTTCTAGGCATTTCAAATGGACACAACATACGGATGTATGTAGACTTATTTTAGAGTGTAGATTCACTCATTTTGCTCCGTATGTAGTTACTTGTTGAAATCTCTAGAAAGACAAATATTTGGGAACGAAGGGAGTAGTTATCTAGACAAATTCTTAGATTTGTGTAGATACGGATGTATCAAGTCACGTTTTAGTATTAGATACATCCATATCTAGACAAATCTAAGACAAGAATTTTGGGACGGAGGGAGTACTATTGTAAGATCGCACCATTTTATAACTAAATGGTACTTCTTCACAGGTTAAGCGAGGACGCTATTGAAACACTTTTTGGTTGTAATGCTGACAAGAAGAGTGGTGATGCCAAAAAAGATTTAACATCAAAGGAAGCTGCCCAAGTTGTGAGGATACTTGATCCTAAAAAGGCACAGAACCTGGCCATATCATTGAAGGCGTTGAGTGTTTCAGCAGAGGAAGTTTCTTGTGCAGTTAAGGAAGGTAAAGTGTACTGTCACTCGTTTATACTGTGCAAGTGCACAGCTCTTCCTGGATGAAATGCGGCTTCTTCTGATTCTTGCCAGTCTTGTAGATACAGTTATTTTATTTTATTTTGGGCAAATCTCCAGTTTTTTTTTAAGTTGCAGTGATACATTGAATACTTATCCAGCTTCTGGTCTATAACTCCATGCAATAATATATCAGCTGCGTATATCATTTGTGTCTTCACAATCAGGAGTTGCGGCTATTCTTCTGTGCTAAGGACAATGAATCACTTGATTTCATTTGCTTCTTCTATTTTTCAAAGCAAATAGTACACATTTCTGCTAAACTGATGTGAGTCTTGTCTTCTAGGTTAACTCTAATTCTTGAACTAATAACAAAGTCAGCAAGATTATGTAGCATGCAAGTGATGTCAAATGCTCAAATCGGCATTTGGTTCTAGACTTAACCACATTTGTGTACATCTGGCCTCCATATTTTGGAATGGACGCCTCAAGCATGGGTTCATGTGCTTCTGACTATTCTATTTGGACATTTAGAACAAAGAACATGTTGATTAAATCCTATTTCCTGATAACATCTTTTGCCTTATCAATTTCCCTTGATAATTTGTAGGAAATGAACTTCCATCCGACTTGATACAGACCTTAATTAGATGGGTCCCGAGTACTGATGAGGAGCTCGGGCTTCGACTATATACTGGGGAACTCTCACAGCTTGGTCCTGCAGAGCAGTTCTTAAAAGCAATCTTCGACATTCCTTATATCTATGAGCGCCTGGATGCATTACTTTTCATGGCTGGTTTACCAGAGGAAGCTTCAAATGTAAAGCAATCTTTTGCCACCTTAGAGGTAATAGCATTACCATTATGACCTGTTTGGCTTCCACACTATATTCAGTTCTGTCGTATGACTTGTATCAGTCTTGTTTGATGCTCTCTAGTCCTTTAACCGATGAACATTTTTATCAAGTAATAATAGAGATTATCGTAGTGTAGATGTTTCCACTCTTCCTGCACCTTGATGTTTCTACCGATCTTCTTATCTCTGCTATCTTGGCATTTAAATCCTGATCAGATGGCTTGTGAGGAGCTTAAAAACAGCCGTCTATTCTTGAAGTTACTAGAAGCTGTTCTTAAAACAGGGAACCGGATGAATGTTGGCACGTTCCGAGGAGGAGCTCAAGCGTTCAAACTAGACACCCTGCTCAAGCTTTCCGACGTCAAAGGAACTGATGGGAAGATAACGCTGCTGCATTTTGTTGTTCAAGAGATGATCCATTCTGAAGGTGTCCGTTCTGCACGGGCTGCAAAGGAGCAGACGGGCAGCATATCCAGTGTGGACAAGAATGATCTTATTGAAGACGAATATAAACAACTAGGTCTGCAGGTTGTGTCCAGTTTAGGAGATGAACTTCAAAATGTCAGGAATGCAGCAATCCTTGATGCAGATCAGTTGACTATGTCGGTAACAAGTGTTGGCCACAGGCTTGGCAAAACCAAAGAATTCTTGAACACAAGCATGAAAAGTCTGGATGAAGATAGTGGGTTTCACCGCAAGCTTGTGCATTTCGTGGAGCAGTCTCAAACTGAAGTTACTTTCTTGCAAGAGGAAGAGAAGAAAATACGGTCCTTGGTAAAGAGCACTGTCAATTATTTCCATGGGAGGACAGGGAAGGATGAGGGCCTTCGTTTATTTGTCGTAGTGCGGGATTTTCTTGCAATGCTTGACAAGGTGTGCAATGAGGTGAAAGAAGCATCAAAAGTAGCTCCAAAGAAAACGAAGACTGAAGTTACTCTGCCTTCCCGCACACCCAGATCTTTCCAAGATCCCCGGCGTAACCTTTTTCCGGCAATTCAAGACCGGAGGGCACATAGTTCAAGCTCTAGTTCTGACGAGGGAAGTTAACTCTAAACGAAGGTACTCTACCTACCTTTTCCTTGCAGCGCTTGGAGGTTTGCCCTTTGAAAACATTAGTGAGAAGAGATGGAAAATCAGAGCTAAAGAAAAGGCAAGAGATGGAAAATTGACGATAAAGCCAACTCTGGCTTTGGTCACTTGTTGCAGCAACAGAATAAAATTGCTGAAGGAAGGCAGTCATCTTCCATAACGTCCTTGACAGGCAATTGTTGCACTTTGGCTCCTATATCAAACAAACAAAGGTGATATTCACGATCAAGATGGAGAAGTCGAAACGGAAGCCGTCGAAAGGGGTGGCGAAGAAAACTGACCCCTTAGTTAGGGCGTGCATAACAGGGAGGGAGGAAGAAGCAGCAGGCTGGTTGACTGACTGTGTGACACTGCCTGCTGTTTTTTCGCTTAACATTTGTACCATCACAGAAAGGAGAGGAATAAATACAGCATTAGAAAGAAAGAGATGCACCACACGGGCTCATAAACATTGGATTCTTTTGCTTGCGCTTGACAAATACTTTTGCAAAGAGCAATGCTGTAAATTGTCATACTTTCAACTGAAACATCCTGTGTGTTCGCGACTTGGTGTGCCTTTTGCAATGTACCAGATTCGCACTGCTGTGCTGTCGTCTGGATAGTCAGGGCACCCAAAACAATGTGCAGCGCTGCTATATGTGGACTGATAATTGTTTCATTTCCCTTGCCATTTCTTTACGGAATCCTTTTTTATCCCGGGTGTTAGATCGCAAGCATTTCCTGCCAAAATGTCTTGCTCGTGAAAAACTTCGCCATCTACTCCCCGCCAAAATTCCATTATCACTATCTCGAGCCGTAGCACAACTACGGATTGTAAAGAAGAGCACACATCTCGTTGTCGAACAGCTTCGCAGATTAATATTAGTAGGATTTCGCATCTATATCTCGTTTTCTAACCATGAAACAATAGGCAAGAATTGACCATGGAAAGAACAGAGCAACGAATTGGCAAGTAAGTAATCCATAGGTGCAACGTTTTATAGAACATAGCAACGAATTACAGAGGATGTAACCATTGTCCACACCTAGTTTAGCATCGGTACAAGCACACAGATTCAGAAACTAATAGTAGTACTAACATCCTAGTAGTAGTAAAACGCAACACCTAGGCAACACTTAACTGAACACGCTACTACACAGAACTGGATACAGCCGAGCACCCACGACCTCAGAGGAGGAGTCGTCATCTAGCTATCGTCGTCGGCAGCCACGGCCTTGCTGCCTCCGGCCTTCTTGGGGAGCAGAAGGTTGTGGATGTTGGGCATGACACCGCCGCTGGCGATTGTGACCATGCCGAGCAGGCGGGAGAGCTCCTCGTCGTTGCGGACGGCGAGCTGGATGTGGCGCGGCACGATGCGGGTCTTCTTGTTGTCCCTCGCCGCGTTCCCGGCCAACTCCAGAACCTGCACAAACAAGGGAATCGCAACGGTTACTTCCAAAATTCCACAAAGCTTCGAGTGGAATTAGCAAGCAGAACCACCTATGCCCAAACAAATCTGAGAGCCGGCAGACGCAAGTATTATCCTCATCCGAACCCTAGAAATATTCCCCACTTTGCCGAACCAACCACTGATCGACGGGTCACCAACCTCTCGAATTCACCACAAAAAACAGCAAAATCAGGCAGCGGATAACAGAATCCCACGAACCTCAGCGGCGAGATACTCCAGCACGGCGGCGAGGTAGACGGGGGCGCCGGCGCCGACCCTCTCGGCGTACTTGCCGGCCTTGAGGAACCGCGCGATCCTGCCGACGGGGAACTGGAGCCCGGCCTTGGAGCTCCTGGAGATGGCCTTCTTGGCGGCGCCCGAACCAATCGCCTTGCCCCTTCCGGCCATGTCTACAGTACTCCGAGGGGATCCGCGGTTGTGAAATGGAAAGCGAGGCGCCGGGAGGAAGTGCGGAGGCGGTGTGGTGTGGGTATTCGGCTGGTAGGCAGGAACGGTGGGTGGGGATTGGGTTATATAGGCGAGGGGATCCAATGCGAGGGGAATGCGCGGATCGGTGACGTGGCGGAGATTACGTGCGCCGAGCGGCGAGATCCTGTCCGTCAGATGGGAAGAGCCGTGGAGCGGTTGGTTTTTGGCTTGCCGCCTCGGATTTTCACCGTTTCGGGGTCGGTCGTACGCCGCCAGCTGCTCTCCGCGGCTATGGGCCGCCGGCTTTGGGGCTTCTGTTCGGTTATTTCTCTTTTTCTTTTCCTTATGTCAGAGATACGTGTTTCTTTGAAAGGAGGCGCTTGCCCGGCCTTAAACTAAAGCACTTACAAATCCAACATGACCGTTAAAGTGACGCAATATTTAACGAGCAACAAAGCAAAGCAAAAGAGATACATGCCCGAAGGCGGATACATAGCGGCGCAACGCTAGCATAGACGATGAAAAAAGGGAACTGTTACAAATCAGTCGGATGATTTTCTAAGAAATCATCCGGCTAGGCAGTTGTCTGCTCAGCGCCTGGTAACCGTTGGATGGCAACAACGTCACGGGAGTAGTAAGCATGTGATTGCTTCAACGCAGCGCTGCTGCACCCTGACAAAAGCTCCACTGCAGCTTAGCGGCGTCCAACGAAGCTCCAACGCTGCGCCGACGGCCGGCGAAGCTTTAATGCAACTCCGGTGGAGCTCCAATGTAGCACCAACGGCGTCCGGCGAAGCTCCAATGCAACTCCGACAGAGCTCCAACGTAGCAACGGCGGCTCGGGCAAAGCTCCAATGCAACTCCGGCGGAGCTCAAACGCAGCACCGACGACGCCCGATGGAGCTCCAACACATCACCAAAGGCTCCGGTGAAGCTCCAATGCAACGTGTGGCTGATGCCTCATGGCAGCGCCGGCGGCGTGGTGAACCTTCATTGCAGGCGGTTGAGGAGAGATGCCCCGTCGCAATAGCAGCTCCGCCGCCCGTCGAGATCTGCGAGGATACAACACCACTCGTGCTTCCTGGAAGCATCCCCGCAACCGACGAGATACAGCAATTGCAACACTCCTCCTCGACAGCACCGGCGGCGTGGCATCCGACATGCTCGACAACACCAGCCACATGGATAGTTGACGACGCTCGGCGAACACTAACTGCAGCAACGGTCGTTGCGGGTGCTGTGGGGTGCTAGGCACGCCGCCGCCTGGCAACATCAGTTCACCACCGGCGATGGTGGCAGTAGCTTGCAATGCCGTTGGGGCTTGGGCAGCGCTTTCTTGCGTTCATGGGGCA